CCCACAAAATGATTCAAAATTAAACCTGAAGAGAAAAATGCCACATCTAGAGATTTTGGTTCTATGCCTCATTTCCAAATGCTTCTAAATAGAGGGTACTTTTTCTTTCTTTCTTTCTTTCTTTCTTTTTTTTTTTTTAGTGGGGAGAATACTTTAACAATATCTTCCATAAGTTGTTGTTTTGCCAAGCAAATGTGGGTAGTTAAAATTTGAGCTAGTGAATGGGAGTAGAGAACATAGATATACAGGAAGAAAGCAGTGCCTGGATCATATGGGGCTGGGGCAGGGCACAGGGGCTTCCATGGCTACTGCCCAAAGCACCTGCTTGGCAGTGTGGAGAGGGGAGAGAGCCAAGGTCATCACTGCCTCCTTTGCACCCACCAGCTCCTTGGGCCAGGATGTGAGGCCTTAGTAAGGGTCTCTTGTGGGGAGTGAGACCATCTTGCCAGTAAAGAATTTTGTCTTTTTCTAAAMCAAGGGGAAAACGTAAATATTTAATAACTGGCTCTACTAAGTTAYAGTCTATTTCTAGATTTCCTCAGGGCCTTCCTACTTCCCKTAAGCATCCATTACTTTGCACTTTAAATTGATAAAGTTTAGCTTACATATTTTTCTTTCAAAGTTGTCCTATTCCCCAAGAGGTGGTGTGTCGAAGTTAAATCACAGATAACAAAATCAAGTGTTGAGTGTTGAAGATTAATTGAATCATTTTCTTAGTATTTTGCATGTTAGGAGGAGCAAATGTTTTGGATTCTGTTCTSTTTTGCTTAAAATTCAGGTCCCAGCATCCCTTCTGAGTTCCTCCCTGGACTCCTCCAGGAGACAGACGTCTCTCCCAGGAAGGAGTCCTTGGGCTAACCAGGCAGCCAGACATGAAGAACATGTTATAAATTAGAACGAGGCTGGTGGTTCTGAGTCAGTGGTTCCAGAAGCTCAAAGAAGTATTACTGCCTCAAATAAACCACTTTCCCTGGGATCCTCCGTGCCTCCTCTGTGCACAAATGCACCTGCTCATGCTTTTGTGCACTGGAGGGGAACAGCTTTTGAAGATGCTGCACACTATTTGTTAAATAGGAGTATGAGTTTTCACCTTAGTTTTTTCTTTGTTGGTAGTACAGTTTAAAAAGTGTAATTGTCTTTCTATTTCTTTGAAAATAAGAATGTGTTGACAGGAATTTAATGGACCTTAAATTCAAGAGCAAAAGAAAGTTTAAAATGTGCTTCATVTGGGAAAATTCAAGAAAGATGGGCTAGAGAAATAAATGATGATATTTTTAGTTGACCCATGATTTAAAGATGTTGAGAAAGAGCTGTTGTTAATCATTTCCAAAKTATGCAGTTGTGAAATGAAATGAGGACCTTGGTGCTCAATGTCATAGATGCTGTTAATAGCAAAGYTCAAAATTCAAAAATCTCTCCATTTGAAAAAGTCTTTGGGTGAGAAAACCAAGCTCATTTATCCTCATGAATTGTTTTAATCATCAGAGAAGTGATCTCTCTTGTTCTTCATTGGCAATTTACATATCATCAGAAAAAGGTCAGATTCATATCTTTTAACTACCCACATTTCAGATTTATTTACTAAACACCTATTATGGGCTGAGCAAAGGAAGAGTTCCAAAGGAAACTTAAGATTTGGATGTAGCCACCGTGAGTAAAAGTGAAAGATGGAACAATTACTGGAGATTTTGTTAGATCCTGAATTATATATTTCAGGTTTTAAAGCATGAATTAAGGGAAGGAAATTATAGAGCAAAGTCTTGAAGAATGTTTACAGTATGCATAACTAGGAGGTGAGAGGTAAGGGAGTTATGGCCAGAGGAAAACTATGAGGGGGAGATGGAAATTGGAATGACAGCCGGGTGTATCGGGGACAGAACTTAGACCCARGCACAGAGACCAGGGACTTCAGTTCTAGCTTGTCTACTTTATTATTTACCTCTTAGAGGGATAATGGGCTGGAATATTCTTCAGGCTGGGTGTTGTTAATTCCTATGTTTGGAGCCCAAACACATTTGTATTCTCTGACCCTCTACCTGAGTAAGACCTGGCCTTCTGGGTTTGTTCCCCACAAGGAAAATACACCATTGCAAAGAACCTTATGACATGCAAGATAAATACTGTGTCACCTTTTTGAAGTCCTTAAGTTTAGCTAGCCACAAATAAATCTGCAAAACGACTTTGTCACCTGCGTCATCTTGGTGGCTGTTAGCCTCAGGAACTGTCTGCAGGTGGGGGTGAAGACGAGCAGGAATTCAGAAGAGCTTGGCTTCCCAGAACCTCCGAATGTCACTGACAACAGGAGGTGCTTACATTTGACCATGGCTGGGGACTGTTGGAATGACTGGGTGAGCGGGAGATGGAATGTAGAGTTGGGGAAACCACTAGTACCTGTCCTTGGGTAAATAATCTGTCAGATCATCAAGAAACAGTTCAACTGGTTGGGACCTATGTCACTCTAACAGAGTGACTCAGAACTTCAGAAGCTCCATCTAAACAGATATCTCATGGAACTCTCACAGAACTGCACCTGGGCAGACAGTGGCCTGGGGCCAGCGGGTGGTCCTTGTCTGTCTGGGCAGGAGAGGGAGAAAGGCGGGCAAGCAGTGGGGGAACTGCCGAACTCCTGCGCATGCCCCTGGGGCTAGATCTCAGCCCTGGAGCCGCGTCCAGCTGTACAAGTGTGGCGGGAGACATGGGCAGCCGTCTCGGCTCCAGCAGTCATTTCGTTTTGTTCGAATATCTTTAATGCCAATTTCCAGTCTGACCTAATGAGAGACATTATTTCATGTGAGGGYAACCAAGAGAGCCAGAACTTCTTGCTTACTGTAAGCACCGATCTCTTTATCTGCAGGTTTTTCCCCTAAAGCCATACTGAGCCAGTCTCATTTTTCTTCTCTGTGTTGGCCTTCATGGTTTTGAAGCTGACCTCCATCTCTACCAGGCCATTCCTTCCCAGACATTGCTGACAGTCTCCAGAAAACTAAATGACCTCTTCAAATGGCCTATGGCAGTTCTACGAGCAGAATCTTCTCTCTAGGTGGCTGGACATGGCCTCGGGGTCCTGGAAGTTTGGAGGCCTGGACCTCCATGACTCACTGCCTTCTTTCTGCTTTAAGAATCAGAGATATTAGCATTCCTCAATCCCTGCATCTAAAACCTCCCCAGCTTCCACAGAGACCAAGCATGACTCCTCAACCCAGCCCCAATCTCCCAATATGAAGGAAAAAGTRTAGCACCTTCCTTGCTGGGTTGCTGATCGTCTCAGGTGCAGCAACAGCAGTCACCAAAGGGCTCTGCTCACTGGGAACTCATGTGCCCATGGACATTGCTGCTGCTGATCCAAAACACTTGTTCTTGCCATTTTGCTGACAAATGCTGTTCCTCCCATCCTGGAGTTTTGAAGCTGAGGATTTTATTTTGTCATTGTCACCATCACTATTCATTTCCACCAACATTTTTATGGCTTATTTCCCCTTTGGTTCTTCTACAGTCTCCTCCTGTCCTCAGACACTGGAGCGGTGCCCCCTTCCCACAATCTGTCTCCTAAGCATCTCCGTCGGCCATCCATATTGACCAGAGTCCCGACAGGGAGAACCTTGCCTGGTGAGGTTTAGGGAAACCAAGCCACAAACAGGGTTTTATAACATGACAGCAAAAGCTAGTTTCAGAAGTATTTGGTATGCTTCCATTCCATATTAGTGCTGAATTTGTGTGGGGATGGAGGGGAAGGTCAAGTATGCAGAMGACATATTAGACTGGGGATCAGGGTGAGGTCTAGGGTTAAATAATTCACGAGTGCAAGCCAACCAGTTTCCTTAGTCAGAGCCTCTGCTGTGATCCTTTGAGCTTCTAGTTTGAACACATTGTGGCAAAATAGTGTCATTCACAAAAACGATCTTCTCCTAAGAACTAGGACAATCTATTTCCCATAAGGTCTCATGATCCCTGTACCACCTTCTCCACCCTTTATGGGCTCCTCCCTGTTCATTTCTTGAATTTTGACATYCTCAAGGACCTGATGCTTGGAATTTTCTCATATCATGCACAACTTCTTCCTGGGTTATCATAAATTTTCTCATTGATTCAATTATCAACTAAATATTGTGCCTCCGCAATCTATTTCTCTAGCCCCAGTTGCTTTTTGAATGTCTAGTCCCCTGCTAGAAAACCTGCTCAGATGCAGCATCTGCAGCATCTCCCTGAATCAGATCCCAGACAGGCCTGCTTCTCCTGGAGTCAGCTCCCCTTCTTGCCTCCCAACCCCAGTTGAAGAGCTGCACCGCTCTCTAAGTCACTACCCAGGCATCTCCCTGATTCTGCAGCATCCAGTCCACCAGCAAACCCCAGATTTCTGCTTCTGCCCTCTTCTTTCTGCACTCATGAACAGTTGTCTCCTATCTCTGGATTTTGGTTCCAGTCTCCCAACGAGGCTTCTTATTTCAGTCCTACTCCTCACCAACAAACTCTCCAAAGGGCAGTCAGTGTGAACTTTCTAAAGAGCAAATCTGAATTCATGTMTCCTTGCAGCCACACCATTCTGTGGCCACTGTGGTCCTCAGGAAAGGGTCAAATATGTCAGCAAAGCCCATGAGTCATTTCAAGAGTGGCCGTGGCTTCTCTCTGTAGTTCTTCCCTGCTTCCTGCCAGCCCTGACCACCACCGCAGCTGAGCGGGGTTGCCGGTCACTCTCCATCTCCACCATCCTCCAAAGCCTTCCCAAGTCCATACTCCATCCAATTAGCCCATCTAAATCTTCATTCTCCCTACATTTTTTGTACCACCTTCCTTGAAAATAATGTTTCTGACCTCTCCTTAGCTCTGAAGTAAGGTCACTCCTTACTAATCTGAAATAATTACATAGCAGATTAGTTTGAATGAATAAAATTGATTAAATTCATACTTTGAAAGAATAACTTTCAAGTATTAGGAATAGTTTGAACCTACAGCTAACRTGTTAYAGCCTAAGCTGTATTTGTATTTTTATTAGAAAATAATTTCATTTTGGGTTCAAATATTTATTGTGGAAGAATTCGCACCCTGAACTTATGTTGCAAGTGATTTCTCCATGGAAATTGCARTGGTGTTTGTGCCCAGCTCTGGTACAATTAGTATTCATTCCTAATTAACAGTGTTGAATTAAAGAATATCAAAAATAGGTACCAGGCAAAATTAAGAAGTACTGCCTGAAAGAGATTTTATTCATATGTGCTAGAAAATAGAAATGCAGAAAATGAAATAAATGAAAGTAACCATAACTATGTATTAGGCAAAAACAGATGTTTTTGACTTATTTAAAATCATAGTTCATAGTTTATCTCAACTACTTCGATTATTCTGTTTCCCAAAATTCAAAACTCCACTCTTGGATACCAGAATATATAAAGATACAACTCTCAGTTTAATGGCATGGAAACTTGATATTTATCTCACCCCCAGCCAATATGGATCTCTGTTTTATTGGTCTTCATGAGGCTGTAGGTCCATAATCAATTTAGTTGGCCTTCCAGAATACGAATTCAGTGACAGACTTTGGTTTTACATTTTACCTGGCCCTCTTTACTTTCAAGGTATTATTAATGAAGCAGACTCTTAAAAAATGTAAGCATGTTTAGCACTTGGTCTCAGATTTTGTTGTTGTTCTTTAAGGAAGTTTACTATTTTCACTTAAATACATTTTTTGAATTCTTTATTTAAAGCAATTTTAAATTTAGGAAAAATTAAGAGGAAGGTGTAGAGATTTCTCATATACCCCTTGCACATATGCATCCCCCACCAGAATGGCAATTGTTATAGTCAGTGCACTTGTACTGACAAATCATAGTCACATAAAATTCATAGACTGCATTAGGGTTCACCCTTGGTGTYGTGTATTCTCTGATTTTGAACAGATATATAATGGCAGGTATCTCTCATGATAGCATCATACAGAGTATTTTCACTGGCCTAAAATTCTGAGCTTCCGTTAAATCTGAACAGATATTTGAACAAAATTTTAAGGCTTTGGATTAAAGTCTTCCTTCAATTTTAGTAAAATAGAACTACGCTACTATTTGATTATTAAAAATGCAAATAAGACCTCATATTCACTGTCCCATTGAAGCAAAATAACTTTTTGCTGAAGAATGACAACCAGTGTACGTGAATGTTTCACCAGTGAATCATTCCTGCCTGGTGGTGGGTGGGCTCTAGGCTAATTTGCGAGCCAGGACATTCCTTGTCACTTTTCATGACATCTTTTTGGTGTGTGATTTCTCCCTAATTTGGTCGGATTTCAGCTCCACACAGCAGTGTTTTGCTCTCCCCAAACTTCAACATTCACAATCTGGACTTGGAGTCTCAGTGGGACTTAGCTGGGGCCCCTCAGCCACAGCTTTGGGAAGCTCCGGAAGCCCTAGCTACCCAAGCCCTCTGGGCCCTCTTGTGTGATTCCATGGGGACCCACCTCAGGGTAACTGATTTACAGGGCAGTCATGGAGCTTCAGGTACGATGAACTCTGCTCTGCTTTCCGAGACAAATACTGGTTCATCTGAGATCAACTGGAAGTAGTATCAGTCAGCCCCGACACCAGAGTAAAAATGCCTGTGAGCGTTGAGTGCTGAGAGGGCAAGCGGTGTGTGGAGACACCACCTCTGTTCTTCCATTCCCTTGCTTCTACATGAGATGCTTCCTAGAAACATGTTTAAGCCTTTGAAACAAACTATTGTGTTAYCATGGAAGAGACAGGCCAGTCCCTGTTCCAAGTGGCAGATGATTTTTTCCAGCATGTAGCCTTCTGTTACTGAGACTCATGTGTTCCAAGAAACTCAAAGTGCTTCAAAGAGAACAACATCGACTCGGCCTCTCCACAAGAATTAAAACCCTTAGCTCATAAATGCAGAGATCGAATCCAAGATCAAGCAAACATCAGAATCAAACTCTTGTTGACAATCACTGGGGTTAGAAATCAGATTATTCCAGGCCTGGGGATTTTAGGATCCTGCCCCTTCCCCAGTGAAATGTCAGCATTGTGCACAGTGAGTTGCTTTCTCCTGGAATGCAAGCTGCCTGTCCTGGAAACTGGGTAAGGTCATGTTTCTCTGAACAGCAATATTGTATTTGCTATTGCCATTTTGATGTGAGAAACAAAACATAAAGCTAATCTTTAGATGCCCTTCCCTTTATTGTCAGGGAATACAGGCTCTCGGATTGCACATTCCATTCAGMCAGTGAATAATGAGCTTTGATATAAGTGAAATCCATGCCCTTCACAGCCTGTCTCACACAGGACTCTCTTTTCTTCCTTCGCTGGTATTCATTTCATTGGCTTTTACCACCATTGCACTGACAAAACAAGAAATCAATAAGTAATTATGGATAGGTAAGGGAATGCCTACAGGTCTCCTCTGGTGTCCACACCACAGCAGGTGGGAGAGTGAACCCAGCCCTTGCGTGGCCTCCTGCTGCCTGTTCAAGGCTGACCACTGCACATAAATGAGCCAAGAGTCCTGTCCTTGCAAATTGAAGTTAATGGCTCATGTCTGACATCCCTTCATCAGCCTGGTCTGCTGGGCATTTGAAGAACMATCCTAGTTTGTGATGAAAATCAGAAATCTATTTTGAAACATCATCAAGGAAAAAAACACAACAAAGTTAAAATTCGAAATTGTGATCCCTAAGCTTTGCAGTAAGAAGAGTGAGACATACTTTAATACTTCCTTCGGTATGTACCATTTTGAGAATTAATAGATTTTATTCTCTGGGTATCTCAGATAGTCATGGAAAAGCACTAAATCCTCTGTAGAAATAAATTAAACTGCTAAATGCAGAGCCGTCATTTTATCAGGGAACCCGTTCACCAGGAATTTATTAATCTTTCAGCAGTGCTGGAAAATTCCTCACCAAGAGATGACTAGAAAAACACAAGGACTTCTAGCAGGATTCTAAAACAACCCCAAGGCTGGAGCCCTCAAAGTTCACAATTGTAGTTCCTCTAGTGTTTTCTTTTCCAAACAGCTTGATATGAAGTTAGGGTAGAAAATGAAAAGGCTGAAGTTAAACTCGTCCATAGTACTTTCTCCTCCATAAATCTGGGCATTTACTTGTTGATGTTTCTATTGACAATGAAGGTCTTTCTTCATGAGGTCCCCTGACCTTTCAGAGAGAATTCTCAGGCACTCATCATATGATATCTGTCCAAAAACAAAGGCACAAATGGGAACAGAAGCAAAAATCAATTGTGCAAAAGTGGAAATCAATGCACACGGCAGTTGCTAAACGAGAAGTGACT